AATACCAATAATATGTCATTCAACAAAACAGTTCCATGCCTCTAAACTGAAGCCAAAACCATATTGTTTTCTGATCTTAAAAAGTAAGTACAGAGACATAACCACTAAGTTTCTCAGACAGGTCAGTTTTAATTTACTCAATCATGGGGCACCCTCTGACTCTGTCCTTACACAACACAGTAGCCTAAATCATCTGTGGCTCATGGGCCTTCTGGCCCTTTGTCTTTCAAATTTGAATTGACCAGTGTGCTGTTTGTTGGCTTCTTTCTGTTTCTTCAGCTTTCTCTGCCTACAAAATCAACATCTTTTGCTCATGAAATGCTTTTTCTTTGGTATACAATAAATTCTTGCCTAATTCTACAAGACACACTAACATCAAATAATTTCTTTCAATTTGTATAGCTTTTTAATTATGCTTTGACAAAATAAATTATGGTTAACTATAATTGATGATCAAGTATTGATTTTCTATAATGATGGGGTTTTTTTTGCTTTTATCTTGTAGCTCTAACAGACTTTTCTCTGAGTCCCAATTATTTATTGATGTTGCCTGAGGACAACTGTAAACATTAAAAAGAGATTGCATATTAGAATAAGAGTTCATTGTTGCTGTGTTTGTGTATGTTTCTGCTTATATCTCCATGTTTTAATTCAACTTGTTGAGAAGAAAAACAATGACATTGACAGACACATTAAACTATTTTACTAACTGCTCCACCACCAGGAAATGAACAATTTGGAGTAGAAAGTAATTAAACTTTTATACTCACAAATATCTACAATCAGTACATTAAATCATATTTGAAGATGATGAATTGGAATATCTAAAGAGTGATCATACTTATCTGAATGCCTACAGAGGTTTGAAGAACATTCAGTCCTGTAACGAGACTTATACACAGTCTGGATTCTTCCATGCAGAACCATGGAGAAATTACTTTGTAATCCTGTCTTACATCCTTAGGTAACTATCATGGCTACATCATAATAAATATTTCTTAAACATGGCAGAAAATGCCACACATCACCCCATTTCCTCTTTCTTCCTGGTTGGTATTCCTGGGTTGCAAGAGTTTCACAGCTGGATTGGCATTCCTGTCTGCCTGCTCTTGGCCTTGACCTTATTGGGGAACACTATGATCATTACTACTGTTAAGCTAGAACCAAGCCTCCACCAGCCCATGTATTTCTTCCTTTGCATGCTAGCCATGAATGACATGGGCCTTGCCACTTCCCCAGCTCTCAAGATGCTTGCAATCTTCTGGTTTGATGCACACTGGATTGATTTTGATGTCTGCCTAATGCAAATGTATTTTATCCACACGCTTTGCATAATCGAGTCAGGTCTCTTGGTTGCCATGGCTTTTGATCGCTATGTAGCCATTTGCATCCCGCTGCAGTACACAGTCATCCTGACAACATCGATGGTGATTAAAATAGGTCTTGTTGTGGTAGCCCGAGCTACAGTGATGGTTTTACCATGTCCTCTTCTCATTAAGAGACTGCCTTACTCTCTGCAATATATTATTGATCATGCCTATTGTGAGCACATGGCTGTGGTAAAGCTAGCCAGTGCCAACACCCATGTTAACAGAGTGTATGGGATATTTGCAGCCCTTTCAGTCATGACATTGGACATAGGACTGATAGCCACATCCTACGTAAAAATCCTGCAAGCTGTTTTCCGGTTGTCTTCTCAGAATGCCCGCTCCAAAGCCCTGGGCACCTGTGCTGCCCATGTTTGTACTATGTTAGTCTCCTACACACCTGCACTCTTCAGTTTCCTAACTCACCGCATTGGCAAGAATGTCTCCCCAAGTGTCCACATAATCTTTGCAAGTGTGTACCTCCTTGTGCCCCCCACATTCACCCCATTGTGTATGGCATCAAAACCAAGCAGATTCGGGTCCGACTGGTGGGTCTCTTCTTTCCAAACCAAAAAAATTTCTGAAAACAGTAACATTGAAATGCAGCCTCTCTCCCCTCTGTACAGTATGTTCAAAAAAATTAAATTAAAAAAAAGAAAGCTGGTAAAGATCTTAAAAAAAAAGAAATGCAGCCTCTCTGCTGAATCTTTCATGGGAAGTTAAAGGACACTGACAGGAGATACACCTTGTTCTCCAAACTTTGTCACTGAATATAAGCTTTATTAAAAAAGGATTTTTTTGATATGACATGTTTTTTGCCCTCTTGTTTTTATGTAAACCACTGAGGGGAATTTGTTTGATATTTCATTTTCTGTTCTTTCACATTTCAAGCTAATAACTCATTCCAATTAATTATATATAAATGGGAGATACACACTTTAATCATAAAAACACATAAGGTTAAAGTGAGGTACAAAATTATTGTACCCTATATTAATTTCAAGAGGGTATTAGAAAACTATAATCATTTTAGATGAACACTTAAACCATAGCAAATTATGAAAAAGTAAAAGTTATAATCATTATGTTGACAAAAAATGACTTTCCACGAAAACATAAAAATAATTTATGTGTCTGAAAAAAGATACAGATTAAACCCATAAGAAATTGGTCACTTAATAAGTGGACAGAAGAGCTAATCAGATATTTGTCAGAGGAAGAGATAGAGATGACTAAGAAGTACACAAAGAAATATTAACATCCTTGGCCAAAAAGGAAATGCAATTCACAACAACTTGGTGATTTCATCTCACTCCACTCAAAATGACCATTGTCAAGAATATGAACACAAATGCTGGGGAAGATGTGAGGGAAAAGGAACCACTGTTGGTGAAAAAACAAATTACTGCAACTGTTTGGTGCTCAATATGGAGATTCTTCAAAAACATAAACCAGCGATACCACTCTTGACATTCATCCCAAAAAATGGCAAATCAAGACACTGTATAGACACCTGCACATTTGTATTCATTATAGCACAATTCTACAACCAAGTTATAGGAATATTCCAGATGTCATACAACTAATGAAAGGGTCAAAACATGTGGTATTTATTCCTTTATTGGTTGATTTATTTAAAGTGATCTTGTTAATCCATCAGGAAGAATAATATATAACTAAGATGTAATTATATATTATATTTTATAATTATATATCATATATGTTATATATAACATAATTATATGCTATATTTGATATAATATAATGTTATTTAATTAGATGTGTTGTATATGTTATATAACTATATATTGTTTATATTATTTTATACATTATATTATTTATAATATATTATATTTATATATTGTAGATGTTTAATATTTACATAGATCATGTAGATCTATATATGCATTGATCATGTAGAGAAGAAGGTCAATAAGGGTGATCCCTGACTGAGCTCAGCAGGGAGGAATGAGCTCTACCCCAACCTTGAAGCAGGCTGCATACAGTCTGAGGCCAGTCTTGTCTCCAGGTGGCAAATGCCTTCCTCTTTCTCCACTGTACTTTAGAAATTATACGCTCAAAATGAATCCAAGAGATCTCAATAGAATTTTTTTCATACTTTAAGTAATACCAAGATTTTCTACATTTTTAAAATAATTTTTATTGGAAAAAATACTGTACAGAAGGGTTACAGTTACATGAGCAAGGTGAGTACATTTCTTAACGACTTGAACTCTGGGCCTGGGCACTGTCCCTTAGCTCTTCAGTTCAAGGCTAGCAGTCTACTACTTGAGCCACAGTGCCACTTCCCGTTTTCTGGTGGTTAATTGGAGATAAGAGCCTCACAGACTTTTCTTGCCTGGGCTGGCTTTGAACCATGGTCCTCAGATCTCAGGCCACTGAGTAGCTAGGGTTACTGGCGTGAATCACCAGCTCCAGGCTTAACTTTCTACTCTTTTATGACTGCATAAAATTATGTTGTATACCTACAATTACTTATATTAGTTTCTTTTTTGGGGGGGGTCCGGTCGTGGGGCCTGAACTCTGGGCCTGGGTGCTGTCCTTCAGCTCTTCCGCTCAAGGCTAGCGCTCTACCACTTGAGCCACAACACCACTTCCGGCTTTTTTCTTTTTGCTTACATGGTGCTGAGGAATCGAACCCAGGGCCTTGAGCATGCAAGGCAAGCGCTCTACCACTGAGCCACCTTCCCAGCCCTATTAGTTTCTTTTTTAAAAATAAGTTTTTTATTGTGAAAATACTGTACAGAAGAGTTACAGTTACATGAGCAAGGTTATATTAGTTTCTCAAGGACTAAGTTTTCTTTTAGTGATTATTATGTGACTGGGAACTGATATTGCTTTTATACCTTTACTATTGTGAATAATATTACAAAAACATGGAAGTTTGCATATCTTTTCAAGATTTACACTTTGTTTTCTGTTAGATGTAAACCCAGTAGCAGTATCACAGGATCAACTGATGATTCTATTTTTAATTCTGTGAGTTCTCCATATTTTACTTTAGACTTCCTAGGGGATATTTAAAAATAGATCAAATATGGAATGACTCATATATTTAAAAACTATTTCCAAGCCATAATGTATGTAAAGCTTTCAAATATCACTAGAGATGTTATAGGATTTACTAGAGCAATTATATTTTAACATAAAGAACAAACATATATTGATCATCTACATTTTGGGAATGTTATATTTTAGGAGTACAATATAATACATCATAGGAGTACAATAAAATACATCATACAAGATGTTTACAATTTAGTGAAAAGACACATAGTGGAAAATATCTGTAGCTTATGGAACTAGTTCTCTTAGGTATATAAATAAATACAGAAGGAAATGATCACTTCAACCCTGAAGGCTAAGACAGTTTTCACAAGAAAAGTAAGATTTATTTTCACTCTCCCTTAGTCTATCTAATCTTTTAGTCATATTTACTCCTGGTTTTCTCTTAACCTTATTTCAAAAAATTCATTGTATTAGTCACTGATATATTGACTGCATTCCTTTTGGTAAAATGCCATCATCTGTGATAACATAATTCTATTTCAAAATCATTTCCCACTTTACTACAATTATTGATGCTCTTTACCCAGCACTGTAATTCACATAGTTTTATTATTAGGGTGATTTCTAGGTGCTCATAAAATTTAACTATATATTCTTTATATTTGTAATGAGTACAGTCAATCAAAAATCATTCCCTCTTAAAGTTTTTAACTATCCACCTATCATTTACTAGTCTTCTATGAAGCTCCATTTAGATTTTGAACATCCAAAAATTGGCAGGGGGAGGGGTGGGAGGGGGGATATGAGAAGGGATGGGAAGGAGAAACAAAGGAGGAGGCTACAATGCTTGATAAGAAATGTACTCATTATCTTGCCCATGTAATTGTAACCCCTCTGTACAGTATTTTCACAATAAAAAATAAAATAAAAGAAAAAAATTACTCTATAGTGGATGGAGATATACAGGATACCAGGCTATGTAGGCTGTCTTCACAATTCACATTATTACAAGGATATGATATGTTCAAATAGCCAATTTCATGTTTTTCATATACTGACAGTATATGTAGTGGTGGTAGTGGTGGTGTGTGTGTGTGTGTGTGTGCTTTAGTCCTGGGCTTGAAATCAGGATCTGGGCACTCTCTCTGAGCGTTTTTGCTCAGGCAAAAATTGGCTTGAGCCAATTTCCTCTTTATTAGTACTTAATTGGGGATGAGTCTCTTGAACTTCTCTTCCTGGGCTACCTTTGACCTGAGATCCTCAGAGCTTAGCTTCTGGAATAGTGAGGATTAGAGGCCACTGGCATGAAGCCCAGATTATTATGTTCTAAAGTCACTGTTTATGCCTTTTTAAAAAAGTTATTTTATTATAAAGATGCTATACAGAGGGGTTACAATTACATGAGTAAGGTATTGAGTACATTTCTTGTCAAACGTAGTATTATACTTTTATTATCTTTAAATAATTATTCAAGAAGGTTATGACCCAACTTGTCAGTATGAGTACAATGCATCTTTTTTTTTTTTTGGGTCCAGTCCTGGGGCTTGAACTCTGGGCCTGGGCACTGTCCCTCAGCTCTTCAGCTCAAGGC